TTGTGTTTCGTCAAATGTGTTAGTTATGTATTTTGTCTGTCATTTCCTGTTTTATTTTGTATTTACCTCTCTAATCTTTCATTTCAGGCCCTGTTTTCTTCCTCCCCTTGTGTGTTTTTCCCACCATCATCAGTGTCTGCCCCGCCCCTGATTGTTTCCACCTGTTCCCAATCACCTCATGTTTAAATAGTCCTGTCTCTCCCCTGTCCTGTGTCAGTTTGTCTTGTTTGTTTCCCCGAATGGTCGTGCCAAGCCTCAGCTCAGAAAGGATCGCTTTTCACTCATGTCAGGTTTTGTTATTTTGTTGGCATAAGTTTTTTTTAAAGGTGGGGTAGGTAAGTTTGAGAAACCGGCTCGAGATACACTTTTTGTTATATTCCATGGAATGCTCTTAACATCCCGATAGCAATGAATATCTTAAGTGCTTCGACAAAAAATCTACTGTAAAAAGCACAACCAATCATTTTAGCTGGCCCGGCTAAAATAACTGGATGGCCTACTTATCTGTGCACAAACTTATCTCGTGCCCTCATTGGTCATGTGCACGTTCGTGTGTGTTGGAGGAGGGGCTCTGTAAGGAAGTGGCAGATTTTTTCCGGTTGTGTATTTTCAAATTCTAGCGCACTCGAACTGGTTTCTCCAAAATTACCTACCTTTAAGTCCTCTTTTTCTTATGCGAGTTTGTTCCTCCTTGTGAGCGCCTTTTTGTATTTTCCACCACCTACTCTGCTAAAAGGGATTACCTGAACTTTGAAAATAAATATGCCTTTTTTTATATATTCAAGACTTTGTCTCTGGGTCGTGCATTTGGGTTCATCAATTTGTGTCGAGGTTCTGACATGCTGTCTGGAAACAGTTTTGTTTACCCCAACATAAATATTATTATTTAAATTATATTTGAGTCTAAAATTATAATTTTTTTCATTACATGTTACAATTGAGAAAATGCAGTGTTTGTCAGTGGGATTTATAATCTTATATTACATGTATTGGGTTGAAGAAATAAAATGTGAAGAACCAAACTGTCTGTGATAGGAGGTTTCATTGCTAGATTATTGTTTTGATGTCTTTTTTTATAAAATCAACATATTTAGTAAAAATGGTCTGTTTTTATTATTCTTACTTTAGGGATGCAGCTCCACATGTATGTGTCATATGCATGTTGATATCAGAAGCAAGCACTGACCTCTCCAGTGTCCTTCTTACACATCAGAGAAAGGTCATTAATAATGATTGTCCCACTGGGCTAGTTGATAAACCTTTAAAGGTGTTGAAATAATTGTGTTATTTAGTCTATGCGTGCTGTAACGGTCATGCATTAAGCCTGTTGTGGCTGAGGGCTGAGGGATTAGACACGCAAGCCTGTGGAGGGAGTGTGAAGGATGGGACGTCTGTTTATAACACCGGGTTACAGTGGTGATGATAAGAAATATGGCTTGTTTGGATTCCACCAGTGATGTTTCTATCCTAGTGATGTCTCCCCTCCCCTCTCTACCACAAGTGAGGAAGAAGATTTATGGACGAACAAGGGAGGAGAAAGAAATGATTTGGTAATAGAATAAAGAGGTGCGAAACTAAAGATTACGTTTAATAGAATGAACTTCCTTATGAGTTGAATGTTATGTGAATGAAGCAGTCTCAACATGAGAAAACATTTGCTAAATTAAACTCTAATTTAGGGACGCGGAATGTATGGTGTTTGGTAAACAAAGGCGGATTTAAATACTGTATTAAGCCGTCATCCACTTTAGCTTTTCATTCATTCCCTTTTGTCTTCCAGCGAGCATAAGCACAGCCTGTGTTCCAAATAGACCAAGGCTTCAAATCACAGAGGAACATTTCATACAAAATAATACATTCTCTGTGTTGGGCTGTGTTTAGAGAGACTTTGTAAATCTTACTGTATATCAGGGCTTAATTCACTTTTGTCACGCTCTCTGTAGGACCCTATAGTGCAGTCGCTTCACTCTGCATCTGTCTGTAATTCATCAAGCAGCATTTGCATACCTGTGGGAACTCGATGATAGTCTCAGTATGAAGTAATGCTACACTGAGCGGTTGCAGACGTGTAGTTTGGGGGATTGAGGGGTAGGAGGGCTGACAGGATGCTAGACTCTTTCTAGCCTGCAGCCATTAGGATGACGGGTGGTTTAACCTTCCACTGAACAACTGCTACTCTACAAAAACAAGAAGATGGACTAAGACGTGCAGTGGGCTTGGTTTCACAAACATATTTTAGATAGGTCTATTGGGTTTCACAAAGACAGACTCACTCACTTAACTTCAGACGTCTAAAGTCATCTGTTGCAAACTGCCAAGTTCTTTTAGATCTTAGAGGAGGTCTTATTTGCCATGAGTTCTGTGTTTTTCCAAATGTTACAGAGCTCAGCTCCATTCGCTCCAGCAGAAAATGTTTTTCAACTGGAAGAATTCAACAGGGAATTTTGACCATCCATTGGAAGGATCTAAAGACAAACGTTATTGCTGTAAACATTTTAAATCCCTGATGTAAATTAAATAATGTAAAACCGTAAACACTTTAATACAGTCTTAAATCTAGTCTAAATTCTACTATATCTTTGTGAAACAGTTGGTGGAGCCAATAATGAGAAGAAAAATATGTTTTAAAGAACACAATTACATACTCAAAAGAAACAGTAGATTGATGATCTGAAGTCTGACTGTTTGCCATAGCTATGAACCTGGCGACTGCTATGCCCCGTCTTAAAAGGAGGAG